CCCCAAAACCCCAAAACCCCAAAACCCCTCGAGCTAAGCTCCATCTTGATAAAATTTTATACTAAAAATGCTACAAAGAGTCGGCTCCTCTGTTCTGTTTCATCTTGCTTTCTCTATACGGATGGTCGGTCTCGTGCCTGGTAATTCTTTCCATGGAACTCTCCTTAAAACTGGTAGAGCTCTTAACTTGTGATGTTGATCTAAGTGCCTTCATCTCTGTTGATTGGTTCTAGAGTTATTCAGGCCAAATAAAATACTAATATTTTGGAAAATACTTCTTGCAACTTTTCCCTAGTGGCATTAATTTCCTCCTGAAGGTGGTCTCATCTTCTCTTCTTAAGCTTCAAGTTGCACTCATAGATGCGCTTTTTACGGAGGACTAATGAGGATTAACTGAAAGATTACTAAGTTCTTTATCAATTACGAATACTCGCTCAGGATTATCTCCCAGAAGCTTATTTTTCTCGTCTTTCTTGATTTTCAGCACTATAAGGTCAGAATTGTGATGTACAAGTATTATTTCAATTTTCGAATGCTTCTGTCTAACTCAATGGCTTCATCTTGTTTCTTAATAGCTTTTTTACGTGCTTCCTTCTCTTGGTTCCTACAATCAGATTTATTTAAGGAAGGTACCTTAAGTCTCTGAACTTGTATTTTTGGCCATGGACAATTTTCTCCATTTTAAAAATCTTAGCATCAACTTCAGGCTTATCTGTAAGCTCAGCTTTGGCTTCCTTCTGTGCCTCGATCTGGTGAAGAAGGCCTTTCTTGACTTCCTTCATTGCCTTCATCTCACTCTTTCTTTTCCTGGAGTAATTCTGAAGCTTCTCTTTGGTCTTTACATTCTGATGCTGGATGTCTGTCAGCACTTGATCATTTCAATTCAGCTTAGACTCTAATGGTAAAGTTGGAGCTTACCGTAGATCCTTCTGATACGGAACATCTCTGTTTCTTCCTTCATGATAGACTTGTATAGTCCTTTCAGCTGCTCCTTGCGAAGATGTAGGTCTGGGTTATCCTCATGATCAGGATGTAAATGGCGATTCCTCCTATCATTTCTAAATTTAGTAACTTTTTGGCACACAGCCTTGATATTTTTAGCCATGGTCTTGATCTTGGTAAATAATTCTTGATTCTTAGCCTCCATTTGCTCAATGAAATCCTCATCATCGATAATGTCTTCATCTCGAGGTCGAGAAATCTCAAGGTGGTTGAAGAAATCTTGTAGTTTACTCAAATCGAATAATTCTGTATCAGGAGTTATCCTAATATTGCTACGATAACTTGAGAGCTTCTTTTGATTAATTTTCCCAAGGCTCTTACTCATGACTTGTTTATTTTTGCAAAAGACTTCCCTTTGAAAGAGAAGACCGACCTGAAATTCTGCTGTCCAAGGAGTTATTTCCTAGATGTTTAGGATTCTTATATGGAGTATAACTGTCGTCTAAGTCGTTGTTATGAGCTTTGGTGTTCACCGACTTCCGGAATGACTGTGAAATCGGTCTCAAGGGGTTTTCGTAAGTATGGTTCTTCATATTATGATCAATTGATGCAGATGGAGTTATTTTGTTTCTTTCAAGCCCCTAGTTTCAAATCTTATTTAAACTTATCATGAAAACAATAGAATTATAATCAGAAATTGGACCATTATAGGCTAAAAATACCAAAAATGCAACAAAAAATTCGATTTCTTACCATTGCTCTCTCTCGTGGTATGCTTTCCAGATATTTTCCGACATTGATCACATTGCTAGTACTCCTCTCATAATAACTCTCGCTGCCACTCTGGTTAAGCAGGGGATCCTTCTTAATTGGCATGAGGGTATTCTCATTCCTTCCCAACATTTTAAATATTATTTCAATATTCATCAAAAGATAAGGGGTTTTGGGGTTTTGGGGTTTTGGGG